AACTTTGGGCAAGAACTTACCATTGGTACCATTTACTACTGAAAATATCAACGAGATATTTATTTATATTTGAAGACATATAAAGGCTTTAACACTTGTTTTCGACTCGCACTACAATTCATGATTGAACAAAACTTTGGCAGGTACTGTATGAAAAAGTAGGCTTAATGAACAAAAGTCGAGAGTATAATGAGTTTTTTTCTCCTTACCTACGAATTTGCCAGCGCGCATACAAGACATTGGAAAGGACTCTTCGCTAGAGAAAGTAAATGAAGTATATTATTTGTAGACAATGAATTTAAATTTTACACTATACATGCCGGAGTTGCCTGTAACGAACGTTGCATTGAAGCACTACGAGACATCCGTTGCATGATTTCGTTACATAGCAACTCGCATTAAGCGAACCTACCCTACCGTGCCTAAAGAAGTTTCACTTCAAAAATAATTTCATCTTCCACCATTTCTGCTACACTTGTTCCTCTTCTAACTCATACATTTTAGCACACTTAAAGCATTAGCTCTGTTTATTCTACCTATTTCCGGTTTCAATTTTTAATAACCCCTTTCTCCATACATCATTTCGTAATAAGACATTTTTGTAGGGTTAAATCAATGTGTTAGTGAATTATTTATTTGGATTAAATTTACCCACTACAGATAACTTCAAATTGATAAATTAATGAGGAAAAATTGTTGCTGCTGTTATTCCCTTGCCGGGAATCGAACCCGGGCCCCTGGTTTCACGTACTAGTATCAGAAGCCCGGGTGAATAAAATAAACTCAAAAAATTAATTCACTAATATATTTTTATCTCGTAGTTTGTCATCTTTTTTCTACCCACTTTGTATATTTCTTATCTGTTGTTCACCTGTTTCTACTTTTTCTACCCCCATATTAAATCCTATAAAAACTATGCGTCTAACTGTCACGTTCAACAACCTTTTCCTCCTGACTCTGTCATTTTTACGCAACTTTTTTCTCTATATAACAAAACATTTGTTTTCGCTAGTTATGCATCTGTGTGCATTATATCGTTGTTATATTCCCCATTACCTACGTGTCCGAAATAGATATACTTTTCACCTTTTTTATCATTTCCCCTTCCATTTTAATTCCTTTTTTCTTGCTTTTCTTCATCCTACTTCTCCAAATTCCATTAAGAGTACTTAATCTTAATTACGTTCAACTCTAGTCCCTTACTTTTTAAATATTTTTCTAAAGTTCTCATCATCCATCGTCCTTCCCAACGCATTTTCCTTCCACTATCCCCCCCCCCCTCAACCTTATTAATCTCTTTTGAGTTAACTTAATTATTCATACATATATAAATCGTTGAGTACTTAATTTACCACCTTGTCTGT